GCGTAAAAAAAAAAAAAAAAAAACTACACTAGCAGGGTTGGTCGCCAAAAAAAAAAATCGCCAAGTTACCATAATCCGAAGATTAACCAAAACTTCTTTTCTTAAAACTAAATGTCAAACCGTGTGTTAAAGGTTAGTTAAATATTTATTTGTTTAGAGATGAAATATTCATAAAATAATTAATTGATAATGATTATATGAATTATTATGCATTAGTCTTGTTGTATATGTATATATATATATATATATATATAAATTTTCTTTTTCCTTCCTAGCTGATGAGCTGTCCAGAAACGACAGAGTTGTAAATGTTCATCAGCTGTCTATGAAGTTGTGCTCGAAATTGCAGCAGCATGCAATCAGTATCGATGATAATTCAAGTCCTTTGGCAGAAACAGATTCTGGCTCTCTAGAACTTGGTTCACACCAGCACTCCATAGAACTAAATAATATCACCGAGACACCAAAAAGATTAAAATGCAACAAAAATTTAACACCAAAATCTTTAAAAATAAGGCAGTTAAGTCATAAGCTGGCATATTTAAAACGAACATTCAGCAAAAAGGAAAGCAAACAAAGCTGGAGTCGAAAAGGCACTCCAGCTGATTAGCTCATTAGTTAGTTCTGTAGTTTTCACTTTTATAAAATCACAAATAAAAGCATCAAATGTGTCAAAATACGGACGAAGATGGTCACTGATGGATAAAAATTTGTGCCTTCAGATCTATCTTAGTAGTCCAAAATCATATAATACACTGAAGGCTTTTTTGCATTTGCCCAGCAAGCCTACATTATTGAAAGCTGTATCTGGTATAAAAATGGAACCTGGATTTTCAGTTGCTGTGCTCAATGCCATAAAATTAGTTGCTAGCAAACTGAAAATCCATGACAGGTATTGCATCTTATCCTTCGATGAAATCACTTTAAAGCAAAGCTTATCTTATGATAAGAAAAGTGATTACATTGTTGGATTTGAAAACTATGGTTCCTACACTGAACTAAAAACATTTCCCGAATATGCAACTCATGGTCTTGTTTTTATGGTCCGTGGGCTGTGTAAAAAGTGGAAACAGGTCATTGGCTATTTTTTTTCTTCTCACACTACTTCCAGGTTTTATGTTGTGTACTTTGGTCATGGAAGCCCTATCAAAATTATTTGATTGTGGTTGATACCTGTGGCTGTTGTTGTGATGGTGGTGCAAACAATGTAGTTTGTTACAAAAAAATTTATGAAAGTCACAGAAGAAAGACCATATATTATATGTCAAGACAAAAAGGTATTCACACTTTTTGATGTGCCTCACCTTTTGAAGTGCTTGCGAAATAATTTTAGAAAGTATGATGTTAAATTTCAGGGTGGCAAAATTGCTAGTTGGAACCACATTGTATCTTTGTGGGAATTTGATCGTAAAATGCCTCACAGATGTGTTCCGAAATTAACAGACCGCCATGTAAATGTGGATTGCCTTAGTGCTATGAGTGTAAAATTAGCAGCTCAGGTCTTCAGTCATTCTGTGGCTTCAGGCCTGTGTTACCTTAGTGCACTAAATGGCTTACCCGCATCGGCTAGTCTTACAGCAGATTTCTGTTCAAACATAAATATTTTATTTGACAGTTTGAACAGTAGAACACTTAAGCACTCTAATCCTTTTCTTGCAGGAGTTACCAAGTCATCGATTCACTTAAAAACCTGGAAGGAAAAGATGGATTTCATCAAAGGCATTGAGTTTCAAACAGAAAAAAAAAAAATATCTTTCCCAAGTATATTTGGCTGGAAATTAACACTATCAGCAGTTCAGCAGTTAATTCCAGTTCTATTGGAAGATGTACCATTTGTATTAATGTGTCGTTTCACCCAAGATGCCTTGGAAAATTTTTTCTCTGTTGTTAGACGCAGAGGTGGAAATAATGACCATCCAACTGCATATGATTTTCAACAGAGGATGAGAATACTAATGGCACAGAATATATCATAAGCACAAGTAAGCTATCAAACTGTGAACCTGATAACGATACAGTTTTGATACCTACAGAGTTGCTGACAGTTATCGATAACACTGAGCCTGGAAATGGCAGTGATGTAAATGATATGGAAATTGACTTTGATGATCCCTTTTTGGTAGCAAATGAAAATTCTGATACCAGTACTTGTATTGCAAGTATACATCATATGATGTATATTTTCACAAAATTCAGCAGCTTATGTTGCTGGATATATTGGTGGAAGGGCATTGAAGCAATTTCCTTGCACTTTATGTAAGAATATTCTTCTTGTTGATAAATCTTTGGGTGAACACACTTACTTTTTGTATTTTAAAGAATTTGATGTAGTGAAAAATGGATTGTGTTACCCCTCACACAAGTTTACATTTACTGTTTGTGAGATGGGTGAAAAATTTGTAACTTTGTTTGATAACTTTGTAGCCAAAAAGATGTGCCAATCCAAAATGAAATCCAAAATTAATCCCAACTGAAATTGATCATGAATGGCTTACATGCCATTATCATGCAGTAAAAATGGGAAATATATTGTCAGTTCATATGCTCAGCTTATGATATATTATAAGCTGAAAAGTATAAATAACAGCTTGAAAAACAGACGTAGAGGAAAAAAAAAAAATTATTAAATTACACTAAAAAGTCTTATTTGTAATATTATATGTATTATTTGTAAGAAAATATATTAATGTAAAGAGTATGTGTGAGAAGTTTTTGATTTTGTATTTTTGCTATATTACTATTTGTTGGATTTTAATGTTTTTGTAATGTAATGTAATTTGTTGAATTTTACAAAAGTTCATGTAATTTAATTCTCTCTCTCTCTGTATATATATGAAATTTCTATTATATGTATATATATGAAATTTGGATTTATGTGTGTATCTTCAAATGTAACTTCAGTAGTATCTAAATTGTCTGTAAGTACAGTGAAACCTCAATTAACGAATATAGTTTGTTCCTAGAGGTCATCTGAAATCTTTGTAAACCAAACCTAATTCTCCTTTAGGAACTTCTGTAAAATATATTATTGATTCATTCCTTCGCCTCAGATGATTGCAGATTTTAAACTTTTGCATTGGTAACATAGTAAACTTTTGCATTGGTAAAAAGAGTTGGTGATATAATTACAAGATAATGAGAAATGGAAAGGGAAGAGATATTGTTATTAATCTTTAAAATGAAATAGAAATAAAATCTTGCTGATAGAAAAAAGGGTTACTTTTCCATTATACTCCCGCAAAACTTAACAAATATCCTGAATTAATAGAAAATTACGAATTTAAAAAAAAAAAATGTATGTAAGAATTGCATTATATATAATTTTTTTTTAACATTATTTTACAAGGTAAATCGTCAGAAAAAAATTTAAAAAATAAACATTTATGTAATTTTTCTGTAGCAGTGAAAATATAAGTACCTACATAATAAGGACGTTTGGCTAAATGAGTAAAAAAAAACTCAGTAAAATAAGGATTAAAAAAATAATCAGTGTTTTTGTTTTTAAAATTTCAAAGAAAAAAAATTTTTGTGACACTGTTCAAAGCATGTTTTGTCTTTTTGGTACATGCATAGACTCACATTCCATGTTTCACCCATGTATCTTCTATGAGGTTTCTTCCTTGTGCTACAAAGTATACACTGCCTGGATCTAAATTTCACTGGTATATGTCCAGTGTTATTTAGTTTCTTTTCATCAGATGACGTTTGTGGTTTTTTATTTTTTAATGGGGAGGGCTTGGTCTTTTTGGCTTTTGGTACGGATCATTCGTTTCCCATTCATACTTATTTTATTCATATTTCATCCCAAAATATTCAGAAAATATTTTTAATTTAAATAAAACTTTAAGCGATTTCAATTTTTATTATAGCAAAGTATTTATTTAAATTTAAAAAACCACAGGAAATTTATAAAATCACAATACTAGCTTGGGGAGCAAGTGTGTTGAGGTCAGAGAAAACTCTCTGGTAAAAGATCAGTAATAAATCAATTTTCATTCAAAATTTCGGAAAGAAGAAAAAAAAATTCCAAATTGGTGGTTTCAGGGCACGACCACCGCGCGTCAAGGATTTAGGCATTATATAGAAACAAAAATCCTTAACTGTCAACTTCTTCAAAATCTCTGGTAATAATTTCTTCTAGATTGAATTCATTGTTTCATTAGTTATGTATTACAAGGCTTTGTCCATGAAATTGAATAATAGAGAATATTAAAACTGCTCATTTTTGTTAGAAGTGACCTCAAAACATGTAGGAAATTCATTTATTGATAGCTTGTATGTTTGTCTTTCGAGACAGTTTCTTTTTTTTGGTTAGGAAATTTGTTCATCGTGAAACATATTTGTAACCTGAGGTTCCACTATGCATTGAGCTGTGTTATGCTAATAAATTTTGACAATAACAATGTTTTTTTTTTTTTTTTAAATTTACATGTGAAAAAATTCTGAATGCTGTATTTGCTAACATTGCATCCTGCTCTATTTTCTTCTCAAGTTTTTTTTTCAACGTATTTAGACATGTAATTTATAGCTATATACAAAGTATAGAGAGATAAAAAAGTGCATTATGTAACTTAAAAGAATACAGTAGAGACGCTTGCTTATTGTGGTCATGGTTAATGTTATTAATTGGATATTGTCATCGATGTGGTGAAGTCTCACTCATTTGTATATGAAAACTTGGAAAATACTTGTTTTGTGATCAACAATTCAGTTAATATTGTTTATTGTGATCAACAATTTAGTTAATATGTCCAGATTCATACAGAATGGATTTTTAAAATTTAACATTGCCAAATTAGATTAAAATAGATTTTAAAAAATTGTCAGGTGACACGGAATGTTGCGAAGTGTGAGATTAGGTTTCCAAACACCTTGATTTCAACTTTAGTCATTTATTTAAAATCAGGTTTAAAAAAAACAACACTTTAGTTTGACGTATCCTATGAGGAACTCTATTGATTTTAAGAACAATCACACATAAGTCCTTTCTTTTTCAGAAGCCACCTCCCCCCCCAAAAAAAATCCTGAAAACACTGATGGCAAATAATGGTTGCATTTTGCTTAATTTTACACTGGCAGTCTTCAAACAAAAGATGCATTTTTAATTTTAAGATTACGTGTACAGAAGCAGTAAATAATATCCAGGAACATTATGAGCAGTTCACAACACATTTTTGCATTTTCTAATTAAAATGCTGTGAAAATACTTGTGTTCTTGATATTTTTTAATTAAATTAGTTAAATTCCATTTTCCATTCTGAAGTGCTTTTTTAAAATTAATGTTATTATTCTGCTAATATTATGAAAATAGATATGAAAAAACATGATCACATTAAGTGGCACCTACTATGCAGTGATTTGAAAGTAATATTTGTATGTCTTCTTTGGAAATGTAGTATTTTAATTATTGTTACACCGCTTCATGTGTTCTTTTAAAACTGCTAAATTAATCACTGAATAAATTATAAATAACCATTTGCTTATTACCTTATAAAGTTAGAATTATCTTAAGCAGTATTTCTCACAAATTCTAAAGCATGATGAACAGGAAAGTCTTTGAACTAATATAAAAATGTGCAGAGGTTTTCAGATAGTTTTTTAAGTTACATTTTAGGATTGGTAAACAAAGAATAATCTTTATCACATATCTTACTTTCTTTTCCTTTCAATATGAAATACTTTGTGAAGTGCATAATAGGAAATTTATTGCTACAGTATCTCATTCTATACAAAAAGATTCCATTATTTGAGATTTTATAATAAAAATTTCCTTCTTTTACTAGTTATGCAAATCATTTGAAAATTATCTTAATACAAAATGCATACCAAGCCATTTGTTATGGATAATATATTAAGATATTGTTTTCCATGTAGATGCTTTTATTTGTGATTTGATGAATGGAAATGCATTATACTGCTCAGACCCCTCAGTTGATGATTTTTCTCATACTCTTACAAATGTGCAGTTTTAAGATTCCTGCATTTCAGCACTTTTTAAAAGATATATTTTATTGACTTTTTTTTATGAAAATTTGCAGCATTGCTGTAAGCAATTGAATAATGGTGCTTTAACATCATGCATTATTATCATTGGTACAAGAATGATTTAGTTTGCTTTTCTTTTTGTAAAATATATTTTCTTTTCAAATTTGCCACCCCC